TTCCATTTTTATATTTCTGTAAGTCTACTTTCCAAAGCATTTTTATTTGCTCCGTTTCGATTTCAAACGAATTTTTTATGGATTTTTTTTTCATTACTGTGTAGATTTTTCCTTCAACTAAACATATTAACTTTTCCTGCATCAAATGTTAATGATAGATAAATTGGTTCAATTCATTAAGATGTAAAGTTGTCTTCTAAATGATCAAATGACAAGTTGGTCGGTCTCTATGACAGGTGATTACAGAGTGTCTTTGTCAACTTTGTTAATAAAAATAATCACTTGCATATAACTACCTAAGAGCAATCGAGGTGCAAGCTCAAATTGACAATATGTCCATAAAGTAGAGAACAAGGGATGATGGCATGGGGCAAGAATTGAGAGGCTCGTTAGTGGACTCCACACACCATTCTCTCTCACTTTAATTTTTAAATCTCATTAAAATAAATTAAAATAATAAAGTAGATAATCAAATACTGAGCTGCACATTATAGAATTAAAAAAAATAAAATATTATATTATCATATTTTATTAAAATATGTCATGTGTCACTATACTTTACTTTTAAGTAGATAAATAACGTGTGCCAAGTACACCGGTTGCTCTAAAAGGGTTAATTTGCCCTAAACTTTAATTGCTGGCGGCTTGAATTAGTCAAATCTTTCTGGTCTTGTGGTAAATTTCCTCCCAACAGACCTGTAGGCCCCATTTGTACGTACTATGTTTCGTACAATATGATAATAGTTTGGCTTTTTTATTTTATTGCAAAATAGTTTGGCACTTTGGCCGGTTGAGTGGGTTAAAATAACAATTTTTTTGTTTTTTCTTCTTCTTCCACAGTAATTTGCTTGAATTAGAATATCGCTTGTCAGCATATTTAAGAAACGTCGATTTAACCGTTAAACTTTTGGTTGTTGCAATTCTTTAATTAACTGTGTATATCTAGATCTCACAATTTATTAATAAATAAAACAGACGTATTATTAGTAAATAAAACAAATTCATGGTTCACAAATTGTCTAAGCCTATTGTCCATTATTTTTACTTTAAAACTTGATTACACGTTGCTTTTTTAACTCTTCATAACCTAAATTTATACAAATTTTTTGACTTCCACTCTCAAAACCGATTAGAAAACTCATCTCGCACATATTAGTCATGTTAAATTGATTCAATTTTACCAAAACAACATTCGCACACATGTTTTCAAGTCACAAACCCAACAATCTTCTTTACCTTGGCTTGAATTCAATTTTCACACCCTACCCCTATACGTAGTTCCACCTTGATTGAAAATCCCTCAACCTTGAACCTAGCATCTACTTAATGCATGTCTTGAGTATATTTGTCCGTACAAAGATTGAACTTTAATTCCTTGCGGCTTAAATGAATCAAACCTTATTGGTCCTAGTCGTGTAATAAATTTCCTCCCGATAGACCGTAGGCCCTAGTTGTACGAATCAAGATCATTACGATCTATTCTTAATTGGAAAATAGTTTGGTCGTTTGGATGGGTTAAAATGGCAACTTCTTTTTTTAATTTGATTGAAATAGAACATCACTTTAAGAAATGCCGTTTTAACCGTTACAATCTTTTACGATCACTATATTTTAAGCAGAAATAAACCATGGGTATATAATTGATAAAATAAGTATTTAATAGGATGATCCTTTGCTATAGAATTGTGTTTAATATATTATTTGGATAATGCATAATTATTCACTGGTAAGTAGTTTTACTCTTTTCATTCTTTATGTGTTCTAATAATAAAACAACACATCACTCTTTATGTGTTCCAATAACAAAATAGTATATCAGCAGCTCTAATAATAAAATCAATAAAATAATAAATAAATAAATAAGTCGAATCGATCCGTTTTAATTAAGTAATCACTATTTCTCTTTTTTCTCTCACTCTTTCATCAATTTCCAAATCCACGCCCTCCTCTCTCCACCATTTTTCTTTTTCACCTTTTCTCTTTTATTTCTCTTTTTCATCGTTTCCCAAACCCACGCCCTCCTCTTTTTCCACTCTTCTTCTTCTCACCTCCATGAGACATCATCAATCAATGAGTGAACATATCTGATTCGTGTTTGGGTTCTTTTTTCTTTTTCTTCTCATGCTTTATTGAACATCATCACTCAACAAGTAAGCAAGAATTGTGGATTCAACTAGGTCTTGTAGTAGAGGTATGATTTAATTTTTTGCTTTGTACATTTAGGGTTTAATTTTTAGAATGGGCCTTTTTTTTTTTGGTTTTTAATTTTTGTTCTTGATGACCCAGGTTGAGTTTTACTTTGGGAATCAATGAAAGAAAGAGAGAGAGAAAAGAGGAAGGATGATTACCCAATTAAAACGGGTGGATCTAACTTTCTTCTTCTATTTTTAGCATTTATCTAATTTTTTATTAAAGCTGATTTGTTATTTTGTTATTGGAATACATAAAGGGTGAGTAGGGTGAAGTTACTTACCGATGAACTAAACATTATCCATATTATTTTTATGAACAATACTTGCCTACTCACCGATGAGTAGAAAATTTATACTCACCACAAATGTGGCGCATTACTAAACTGACAAGTGTCCTTACACTTAAAAAAATAAAAAATAAAATTTTAATAACTATCTAAGTTAAACCCAAATGAATATGAATCAAATTACAATTCTCTCTCCTCTCATTCTTTCTCACATTTGACAAAAATAGTGTTCTTCAGCTTCTGGATCAACCCAAATGAATATGAATCAAATTACAATTCTCTCTCCTCTCATTCTTTCTCACATTTAACAAAAGGGGTGTTCTTCAGCTTCTGGATCTTGGCTCATCTTTACCCTTATGCAAAAGGCGCTTATGGGAAGGTGAGGGAGGACCCCAACAATCGTGTTTGTTTGGTCAGAGTTGATTGCAATTACTATATCTCTCCGGCCTCTAGGTGGAGATCGACCCCCATCAAAAAAGGTTGGTAAATGCTCCAAGAACAGAAGGGTCAATTTTATTGTGGGAGTGCAATCCTCAAAGGGCTCAGTATACAACCCAGCCAAAAACTTTAGGCTCCAGATAGCTATTAAATTTTATTTTTTTTTAAATGTAAAGACACTTGTCATTTTAGTAATGCGCCACATACGTGGTGAGTATAAGTTTTCTACTCACCGGTGAGTAGGCAAGTACTGTTCATATTTTAGAACAATACTACTCACCGGTGAGTAGGAAATTTATACTCACCACAAATGTAGCGCATTACTAAACTGATAAGTGTCCTTACACTTAAAAAAATAAAAAATAAAAATTTAATAACTATCTGAGTTAAACCCAAATGAATATGAATCAAATTACAATTCTCTTTCCTCTCATTCTTTCTCACATTTGACAAAAGGGGTGTTCTTCAGCTTCTGGATCAACCCAAATGAATATGAATCAAATTACAATTCTCTCTCCTCTCCTTCTTTCTCACATTTGACAAAAAGGGTGCTCTTTAGCTTCTGGATCTTAGCTCATCTTTACCCCTATGCAAAAGGCGCTTATGGGAAGGTGAGGGAGGACCCCAACAATCGTGTTTGTTTGGTCAGAGTTGATTGCAATTACTATATCTCTCCGGCCTCTGGGTGGAGATCGACCCCCATCAAAAAAGGTTGGTAAATGCACCAAGAACAGAAGGGTCAATTTTACTATGGGAGTGCAGTCCTCAAAGGGCTCAGTATACAACCCAGCCAAAAACTTTAGGCTCCAGATAGCTATTAAATTTTTTTTTTTTTAAAATGTAAAGACACTTGTCATTTTAGCAATGCGCCACATACATGGTGAGTATAAGTTTCCTACTCACCGGTGAATAGACAAGTACCGTTCGTATTTTATGTGTTAAAATACTATTCAAGTATGTTGAAAATTTATAATGAACCTAACATTCTTACCTCCTCCTCCTCCTCTATTTTATTTTATTTTATTAGCATACCTAACTGGACCCACTTAATCCTCTCTTTATTCTTTGCCACGGTACTTTGATTTCTTTTGCCTATTCAATAATATATCCGTGTGTGTGATTGTTGTACTCTTTCTAAACGAATGCATACTACTGTATGTATGATGCTTCCCAGATCCATCCACATTACTTCGTTAAGAAATATGTACGACTGTACCTTTCCAATATATATATATATATATACACACACACACACACAACTGTATATATGGTGCTTCCCAGATCCATCCACATTACTTCGTTAAGAAATATGTACGACTGTACCTTTCCAATATATATATATATATATATATATATATATACACACACACACACGACTGTATATATGGTGCTTCCCAGATCCATCCACATTTCTTTGTTAATGCCTCACCAACGTGTTGGAAAAATAACTATAGAACGCTTTTGGACTTGGTATTGGTGGTGTGTGTGTGTGTGTGTGTCTTTTCATTACTTTTTACCATTATCTTAATTATTTGACTAAAGGAATTAAAGTATTCCAAAAAATATTAGAACAGCTTGTAATTAATTTGTGGTTAGTTTGGTTAATATATATATTCTTGAGTGTACAGAAAACAAGCTTGGTACAAATTAATAATGTATATACTTGAGCTTAAATTAATTGTGTAGTACATAGTACTACCATTGCCTGAGTACAGAAGATGAATAATTAATGAACAAATACGGGGGAGTTTCTGCATTCTTATTGAACAATAATCTACCTCACACCACATCACTCAAAGAATTGGCAAGTACAAATTAACAATATTACAATGTGTTGGTGTGTGCCTACACTTTTGTGCTTTTTTGACAAAAAGAGAACACATAATTAACAATGTGAATCATGTGATCCTAAAAGAATAATAAAAATAAAAGAGATTACATGTTTATTTATTAGCAAATTGAAGAAATGGAATGAAAAGATTGAGCAAATTACAGGTGATCGATATTGAAAGGAATGATCGATCAGGAGTTGGCATCTTGCCATCTTGTATAATCCTTCATTATTAGTTGATGCATGCAGCTCTCATTTAGGGATTTGAGGAATTTGGTGTTGAATTCGGTCTTCGTCCTGGATCTCTATCAAGCTTTCTGTCACAATGTCTGCAGCATTTGTTACCACATCTGACCAGTTCCTACATAAAGAATGGGAAAAAAAAAAAAAATTAATTAAGAACAAGAAATTAAGCTAGAATAACAAATAAACGTAAACATATACTAATAAGGTTGATTGATTTTACCCCTTAAGAGAGTCGAAGGCGAGTCCAACAGTGTACTTGGCCTCTTCAAGTGCCATAGTGAACTTCTCGAGGTCCTGAGGTGGACAAGTACCATTGTCCACCACTCGAAGCTCGGAGGGCTTGACATCACAGAAGATGGGTATAACCTTCTTCTTAGACTCCATCATGAGAGCCAACTCGTGGAGGCAGAAGTATGACTCACAATAACGCGGTGAGAAGACCGCCACGCCAATTTTACAGCCATGAATGGCATTGTTTATCTTCTCGAACAGCTTGTCCCCCGGTTTCATGTTCTTGTTGTCCAAGAAAGGATGGATATCGAGGCGGACAAGGTGATCATAGAGCAACGAAGCCACGGTTCGCTTCGTATCAATGCCTCTATGGTTAATGAAAACATCGCATGGTTTAATGATTTTTTTCTGTAGCATGTTCATGACTGCATGGCGATGCATGGCTTTGTTTTTCTTGGAAATCCTAATTAGATAGTACAAACTCTTTTGTTGATTGTTTTGTATTGATGATAGTGATATATGTGGGGATATATTGTACGAATTAAGTGAATTGGTTTGTGGGGCGTTCTATATATAGGAGTGTTTTTTAAAATAATAATAATAATAAATTCATGTTGTGTGTGAATCTAGAATTTTAAATTCACTGACTTTAACGTTGATTTTGGAAGAATTTAAGAAAGGACCATTCTCTAGGAAAACCTTGAACTGATGACCATGTGATTTGACACCCCAACAATAGCGACAAAGATCTTTGACGTTTTGACCTTTTGAATTTCTTTTCACCCTTCAAACACGTCCATTGAAGTCCGCCTCCTCGATGGCTTATGGTCCGTCCTTGTTACCAACCTCTATGACTTCGAATTAAAAATCAACTGTAAAAGCCTAAAGCAAAAAATTTCCTCTCCTCTCGTGAGAGTTCCCCTTTCTTACGAAACCTAGCCACTGCCGCCATCGCCATCATCAGCATCTCACATCTCGGAGGGTTTTGTTTGATTGGGTTGTTCCTTGCGTGTCGGGATTCTCTGTTTCTCTTTGTGTTTCAAAGATGGGTTTGTTTCCATGGGCGTTTCTATGTGGGTGGGTGTCCACTCTCGCTTTCCTTCGCCGCTCTTGCCGGCGGGGATCTGGTGTGCCGCTTGTGGGCAAATCATGTGCTTTGACTGCTAGACGGCTTCTTGGCCCATCCTTGTCGCTCTTTCCTTTTAATCCCGGTATTTTTCATGTTTTTTTGGTTGCCTTTTATGTCCTCATCTTCTCTCTGTGGTGCTTTGTTTTCTCTCCGCGAATCAGCCGCCCCATGCGTTTTTCCGTGGCCATCGCTTTCAATCACTGGATGGGGTTTGGTGGTTCCCATCTTCCAAAAGGCAGTATCCCTGTGCCTATGGTCTATGTTTTTGTTTGTGCGTGGGGGTGGTTCTATCTGACTCCTGGTGTTTCCTTGTTTCTTATGGTTGGCATTTGTGACCCTATGCGTTGTTTCTTAATGGGGGTTTTCGCCATGCGCTTGCAGGCCCCTTTAGTGGTTTTTCATGGCTCTGCTTACGCTGACTTGGGTAGTGGATCGGTTATGCTTCTGCTGTCTTGGGTCGATCTTTTTGATGCCGGCTTGCTACAATTTTGGCCGATTTCTGGGCTTCCGTTTCCGGTGAGTTCTACTGTGTTGGGTCAATCGTGGAAGTCAACGTCCAGTCTTGGGCTTGCTGTGTGTGGCGCTGAAGTTCCGCCACGTAGCTCCCAACAGTTTCTAGGGCATGTTTTCGCTGTTGTGTGGCTGTTGGTGCACCTTGGGTATTTGCCTAGCAAGGGCCACGTCTTGTGTCTTCTGGTGGGACATGTGTACCTTAACAATGGTCACGTTTTTTTGTGTTCTGTGGTCCGGATTTTTCAGTGTTGGTGGTTGTTACCAAATATGTATCCCTGGATTGGTGATTGTGCCTTTTGCTTTGGTTGTCTTTTTGTGGGTCTGTTTATTGTAGATGCCGTTAGGCTTCTTGTCTTTACCAATGAAAAAAAAAAAGTCTGCCTCCTCTTCCTCCCTCCCTCCCTCTTTTCTCTCTCTCATATTCTCTCATATTACAAACCTAGTGAAATGCTACCAAGACCTATTATTTACAGACAAAACTCAACATTTTCCAACTTACTGTCGGATGGCTGAAATATTTGTAGAGCTCTGATTTAGCTTTGCTTTGTTGCTTTTCAAAAGATGTTGATGCTTTCAAAGCATCCGGAAATGAAACATTTGGCTCAAAAGATCTTTCAAAAGCATTCTTTGAAGCATTCTCAACAATGGGATCTTTTACACTTAATGAAGAAGGAATAGAATGTAAAACGGGACAGGTGTTAATACTAGGTTGCACTGGTTCACTCTCTTCATTAGATTCACCAACTTGGTTGTCAATAACCTTTCCACTTCTCAAAGTGGTCACCGCATTTACATGTTCAAGTGTATGACCTTTGAAAGGGAAGTGATCTCCACAACAAATTGTTGCTTCGATGGGGGATTCAAAGGCATTTTTCATTTCTCTCTCGCATTCAAAGTGCTAGCTATTTGCCCTACTTGGGTTTCTAACTTTGTAATTGATTGAGAGTGAGAATAAAGCAATTGAGTATTTGCCTCCAAAGTACCGAAAGCGGATAAAACTTTCTCTTCAAATGTGGGACTTCTTGAATTACCTTGAGAATATGATGATTGATTTGGAAAATGAGAGTTTGAAAATTGATTTCCATTTAGTGCTTGGTAAGATGAACGATAACTTTATGAACCTTGGCTTTGCATAGGGGATGGAACATACTTGTTTTGGAAACCACTTTAGGGAGGGTTTGAGCCTTCCCCTTGGCTTTTTCAAGAGAAATTTGAATGGTTCCTCCACCCGGGATTGTAATAAGATAGGGATTATTCCCTTGATTCGCAAAAGTGGCATTCACTTGTTCATGGTGTTCAAACTGTTCACTATGCACATGTCCATGGGGACAATGGGAAGTATAATGCAACACACTAAAACAAGTCATGCAAAATTCATTGAAATGATGATGAATAGGGGAGGAAGACAGTTGATGAGTCGGATTTTGGTTGATCAAAAATTGGTCAAACCTTTGAGATAGAGACTTCACTTCGGCAACTATGTCATTAAAATTATCAACTTGATATAAGCTTGAATTCTTCCTTCCACCTACATTTCTACCATTTTTAGAAGACAATGATCGATGCATTGAGTTTTCACTCATACTCTCATATAACCGCCACACATCATCTTTATGTTTGTCTAAATAGGAACCTCCCATTGAGGAATCAACCATGCCTTTATGGTTATCCGACAAACTTTCAAAAAAATATTGAACTAATTGCCACTTAGGAATGTCGTGTTGAGGACATTTCCTAAGCAAATCATTCAACCGTTCCCATGCCTCATAAAACATTTCCCCATCCTCTTGTGAAAATTCACGAATTGAAGTTCTAATGGCATTGGTTTTAGACATGAGATAGTACTTTCTCAAGAATTCTTGTTGCATTTCCGCCCAAGAAGTTATAGAAAGAGGTCTCAAATTGTTAAACCAATAGTTTGTCTTATCTTTTAGGGTGAATAGGAAGAGTTTTAACCTCAAAATTTCTTCCGGCATGTCCATATATTTTACGGTGGAACAAACTTCAAAAAATTCATCCAAATGCTTATATGGTTCTTCATTAGGTAGCCCAAAATAATTGGGAAGCATTTGAATGGTTTGTGACTTGATTTCATAATGATGTGCTCTAAATGGAGGAAGTTTGATGCATGTTGGTGCATTATACTCATTAGTCACATAGTGATCTCTTAAAGCAATAGGAGGATTTGCAATTTGCGGCTCTACATAAGCCCCATGAATAACGGGAGGTGGAGGTGGCACAAAGAATGGCCTTAGTATTCCAATTGGAACTTGGCCTTGTGGTTGTGGAACGAATGGTCTAGGCATGCCTAATGGAACTTGTATATTATTATGTTGTTATTGCACATTAGGATAAAGAATGCCTTGTTGGTCTATATGACCAAGGTCTTCAACACGGTCCTCAATATGGTCGTCCATTGATGAAATGGATTCACTTAAATTACCCCTTCCCCTTGGATTACGCACAATTGATTCAAGATTAAAATTCAATGGGACAAGAGGGCGATTTAGAGATCTACGACCATGCATGCACAATGCAAATTAACACAAACAATAACTCAACAAATAGTAAATAGCAAACATTTCTCCTCCACAACAAATCAATCAACAACAAGCCTCCACATACATTGATCCCATGCTCCCATGATTTTCAACAAATGCAAGAAATGAATTGCCTCCACGCGGGCCAACGATAAACAATGAAAGTAAAATGCCTCCACGTGGGCTGACGATTTAACTAAGCAAGAGGAGTTAGAATAGCTCACAAAGGGTCCTTAAGCAACTTCAAAAGATTTTTAAGCTTTTTGCTTTGCAATTTTTTTAATTGTTTAGCTTTTATGCTTTTTGCTTAGCTTAGCTTGCTTTAAAACTCCCTTTGCTTTGCTTCTCTTGACTCCAAGTACCTAGCCAATCAAGAACAAACACAATAAGAAAACAAAGTAAAAAAAAGTAAAAACAAATAAGATAAACGGAGTACTAATTCCTAATTAATTCCAAATACAACATTGCTAATCCCCGACAACGGCACCAAAACTTGACAAGGTCACTTGCATATGCCAAAATTGTTTGTGTTTGGAGCCAAGTTTAATTTATAAAATGCTACTACCACTACTAACTACTAACGTAGCAAAAGTGAGTAGGAATCGCCCCAAAGGATTTGTAAGGTATTCCGAAATTAATGTCAAATTAGTAAATCGAATCATCAAATAAGGTTGTATTGGTTTAATTACACTAATAGTTCAATTAAAATCATGCAAATTAACAACAATCTAGAAATTAGGGAAAAGAGTATGAGAGAAAGGTCTCAGGGCTTATAGTTCACCACTAAGTTTCACTTCACTAAACATTAGCAATTGTCAATTTAAGGGGAGTTTTATGTTGTAAATTAAATGTGTGTGTGTGTCATTAATTGAAAACTAAGCATGGATGGCAAATAAACATAAATTGTCTAATCAATCTAGTGAGTAGCACAACTTATCAAATAAAACCATTAACTATTCAATTAAACCACAATTAATGCACACACAAAAATTTAGAGAAATGTATTACTTGCATTCATAAGCATGGATCATCAAACAACAAGAGTGGATTGCATACCTATCTAGGAAATTAAAGCAATTACACTACAACTATGCCAATGACATGAAAATTAAACTAATTAAGCTAAGGAGGTAGTATAATCCATCAAGAAATAAGCATGATCCATCAAACAAACCACAAGAGTAATCAATTAAGCATCATGCCTTGACCATCAGTAGATCTATAATTTCAAACACACATAGACATGCATCAAACTCATA